ATATACATATATAGATATATCGTCGAGGATAGGATGGAAAGAAAATTGCGAAGAGACGGACGGGAAAACGAAGAAGGAGGAGGAGGAAGAGTAGGTGGTGGTGGTGAAGTTTGTTGAGGTGGTTATATCCGTGAGCTGGTAAAGAAGCAAGAAGAGATAAAAAAAAAGAGGAGAGATAGTAGAGAAAAGCTGTGGGGGTACTGTCGTTGGTGGGTGCAACAGGAAAAGGTGGTTGAGTATCGGTGTTTGGTGTTGGGTAGTACTGCTGCTGCTCCTCTACCACTACTACCACTACCACTACTACTATTCCATTACAAACGCTACCGTTGCCTTGTTATAAAATACTTTAATTAATGACCCCTCGGAACAAATTTACCTTCATTATTAGCACATTCATGCCGTGCGCCTCGACGGCGTTACGTACGTGAGCGCGCGTGTACGTAACACGTGTATTCGAGGAGTCACAAAGACCGGCATTGTGCGGGACGCTCATAAAAGGCGCCTGTTCTTGCGCGGGCTTTAAATAATTCAATTCACCGAATGCTTCTACACTACTCCTCCTGCCTCTTTCCTCTTCCTCCTCCTCCTCCTCAGTTACTGCCAAGCAGCATAGCCTTTTGCCGCTGTTGCTGCTGCTGTTGCTGTTGCCGATGGCATTCCTCCTCTTCGTTAGAGGAACTTAAGCGCTAAGTAAGAGAAAGAGAGAAAAAGACACAGACACAGATAGACAGACAGACAGACAGACAGACAGACAGACAGGGCAACGAGAAAAGAAGAGAAAGGAGAGTCACTGTGTACGGAAAGAAAGAAAGAAAGAAACAGAGGAGGGTGCGATCTTAGTGGACTCTCGCGAACCCTCATCGAGCATTTCCTTTCGTTGCAGAAGAAGAGAACTCCTCCTCTATCTCATCCTCCTGCTCTTCCTGCTTATCCTCTGTTGAGAAGAGCCAACCATCGGACCCTCGACGCAATACTTGGGATCACGATGATCTTATCCCCACCGTGACAAAACCCGTCGCATTCTATCCTGACACGCGGAGAAACCTTCGCTAATTATTCCTCGCGTCGACGGAAACGCGACGCGACACTGTTGTTGTTGATGCTTAATAACATTTTTCACATTGCCTAACTAACTGCTGAAAGATATATAAAAAAGGAGGGGGGAAGGTAGTTGGGAGGTGTCTTACAATTAGTATTTCACAAGGGAGTTATCATCTACTTTTTCAATTACGTTCCCTCTTTTTTATTTGTATGATACTTCGTTAAGATGAAAAGGTTCTTTTTTCTTTTTAGGATCAATAAAATTGATTTACTTATTTATTAATATTACAGAAAAGATTTTATTTCATATCCTAATATAATATGTTATATTGAAATAAATTGATGTAATATTTTTTTAACCTCCACCTCTTCCCCTTTTACCTACTCATCCTCCTCCTCCTTCCATACCTTTCCTATCTTATCCATACGAAATTCTAGCAACGTAGGACATTACCAGACGTTCCGAATAAATCCATACCGATGAACGTCCATTCTTCGAAAAGCGAGAACACGATAAAGAAACGTAGGTTGGTCGGTAGGTAGCTAGGTAGGGTAGGGTAGGGTAGAAAGGTTGGTAGGTAGGTAGGTAGGTAGGTAGGTACGTATTGCACGAGGAGACACCGGCCCAAGGTACGAAGCGGTCATTAAACGAAGTCCTTTTAAATTACAAGCTGCATCGGTGCTCCGAGGTCGAATGTAAAACGATTACGCCGCGTCGTCACCCGACGACTTTTTGTCGCACAAGTGAGATTCGGATGACTGAGTGAGTGAGTGAGTTAGTGAGTGACTGACTGACTGACTGACTGACTGACTGACTGAACTGAGTTTCGATCTTTATCTCTGCAGAAAGAGGTAGCCAACTAAATAACATTCTTCCCTTCTCCCTTCCTGCCCTTCTCTTCTTTCTCTTTCTCTCTTGTTACAAAGATCTCGAATATCTATCTTCCTATTAGTATACCCGGGGTCCTATCCCGCTGTGGAAAAGGAAAGGGTGGACCACGGAGAGATATACTATAAATCACTCCTGTCGATCTTAAAGTATCTATTATTTTAATTGACTCGTCAAAGGTGGACGGTGATTACGGGTTAAGAGGTTGACCCATTCGGAGTTTTGTTTTATTTTACTTTTTTCAATTTTGTTTTTCATTCTCATTCTCTCTCTTCTTTTTTTACAATTTTTTTCTTTCCTTTTCATTGACATTATTTATATTAACGTAATCGTAAGGAATTAACTATTACTTCATGTCTGATTTGTTATGTCAAATACTTGACCAATGAAATTGGGAAACGTTATAAAAAAAAAAAAACAACTTCAAATTGTTATATATGACGAGTTCAAAACTCGTTTCATTCTTTTTTTGGAAGATAAGAATAAGGAAATTTGTAGTGGGTGGATAGTTTAGTTTGTCGGTCGAGGAGTTATGGGGGGGGAGAGGTGGGTATAGATGAGGAAAAAAAAAGGAAAGCAACAAGCAACATATACCACGACGAAGAAATTCTTGACTGAGCTCGTGTAAAGTACAATAAGTCGTCTGTTCGAAGATTTTCTCGCGCGTTTGGACTAGAGAGTTAATAAAGTGTGCAAAGAGAAAAGACTTGACGCAAAAGAGAGAGAGAGAGAGAGAGAGAAAGAAAGAGAGACCCGTTCCTAGTATTTGAAGTTAATTATTCACGCGTGTTTAGAAAATAAAGATTCTTTTTAAAAATATCTGACTTTCTTTCACTAATATAATATTATATTTATATAGAGAGAGAGAGAGACTTTATATCGTATATAAAAATTTCATCCATTGACACACCCATGTTTTACCTATTCTACTTTTTTCTCTTCCCTTCCCCCCTACATTCCTATTAATTTCACAGTGTTTTTTTTTTCTTTTTATCGAAACTGAATTAAAATGCAATTTATTATCACTATTTTAATTTATTCCAAATATATATATATATA